GTCCAGGAGACAGGAGGAGTCATGGTGCACCCCAACCAGGAGCCAGCGGTGATCGCGGGGCAAGGCACTATCGCCCTGGAGGTGCTGGAGCAGGTGGGGAAACCCAGAGCCCAGGGCTCTGCTCCTCACAGGCAGGGACACAGCAAAAAGGTGCCAGAAGCACTCACACTTCCTTTCTGCACAGGCCCCCGAGGTAAATGCAGTGGTGGCTCCTGTGGGAGGCGGAGGAATGATTGCAGGAATAGCCATTGCCATCAAGGTAGGCAACAGCTCATCGGGGAAGCGGTGGCTGCATCTCCCTGTGGAAAGAGCAGAGCTCCCAAAGGCAGGCAGCAGTGTTTCTCTTTACAGGGAGACCCTGCTGTGGAAATCTCTGGCTGCCTGGGGTCTGCCCAGCCACAGCACAGTGTACTCAACCCCCCGTGCAGGCAGGGCAGCAGACAGGCAGACACTAAACTGAGCAGCTCCTCCTGCTCCCCACAGGCTTTGAGGCCAGATGTGAAAGTGTTCGCTGCTGAGCCACGCAACGCAGATGACTGTTACCAGTCCAAGGTAAGAGGGGAACTGACCCCCAACCCTCACCCACCGGACACCATCGCGGATGCCGTGAAAACCAGCATCGGCCCAAACACGTGGCCCATCATCAGGGATTTGGTTGATGACGTCCTGACAGTCTCAGAGGAAGAAATCAAGGTAAAACACTCCCAGCTCCCTTCCCACGGCAGCTGCCAGTGCAGCTGCCTCCATCCACACTCTGCCCCTCCGCTCTCACCCCTACAACTCCCCCAGGGCAGCACAAACCCCTGTGCATCCCCGCAGCTGTGTGACACCCACACTGTCTCCAGCTGGGAAGGGCTGGCAGAAGCTCTGCTCTCCCTCCCCAGAGGGCTGCAGAGAGATGTGCACACACAGTGCCCTCCCCAGCCCTGGAGCAGCCTGGACTTGCTGCCGGGATGACAGCTGCTGATCTTGTCCCGACAGCGAGCCACACGGCTGGTGTGGGAGAGGATGAAGCTGCTGATTGAGCCAACAGCGGGTGTGGGAGTGGCAGCTGTGCTCTCAGAGCAGTTCCAGGCAGTCCCCCGGGACGTGGAGAACGTTTGCATCGTGCTGTGCGGGGGAAACGTGGACCTGAACTCCCTGACCTGGCTCACAGACCTCCCTGGGAAAGCTGAATGAGAACAGAGTGGTGTCTCAAGCAGCAGAAACCTCACTCTGAATTTGTAGGGTCTGGTTTGCACGTTACTAAAAACAGATTAGCAACCCCAAATGTCTGAAAGTTTTTGTGGAGGGATAAGGGAAGCTGGTGTTGGTCTCTACAGGGAGCCTGGAAGCAAAATGCTGCCTGTTCTCCCCTCCCCAGCTGCCCTGCTCTGGGACAGGCCTGCAGTAAGCTGTGCTCAGTCACTCCCCCCACCTGCTACTTCACCTTCCTTTCTCAGCATCAGCAATAACTTCCAGCAAACTCCTGGCCTTGATACAGCAAAATCCCCACACCCACCACTGTGGCAGGGCAGGAGAGAAAGACAACAGCCCCAGTGGGCCAAGGGATGCAGACAGCCTCCCATCTGACCTCCACAGCCAGCCACCACCAAGACACAGGCACTTAGATCTGGTTTTTTAAAACATTTTCCATCAAAATAAATAGCTGTAGCTGGTACCTGAGCAGCAGCTGGTGAGACAGCCACCCCCAGCAGTGATACATCCAAGACATCAGCGCTGTCCTCGCTGTGCACAGGCTGAGAACAGCATTTGGGGAGCCAAGGCACTAACTGCATTAGCCACGCTGGAGACTTACTCCATTTCCACCTCCTGCACCGGCAGCGCGCTCTCGCTCCTCACCCACGGCACGGGCTCTGGAACATGGGGGTCATAAGTCCATTTAGGAAAAACACGCTTGTAGAGGTTAACACCGTGTCCTGAGACTTCAGCTGTCCATCAAAGTGGCACTTCATGTGACCATGGGTCCCTAGGCAGGATGCAGAAGAGGCCATTAGCTGTCTCTCCTGCCCAGGAGGATCACATCCTGCCCAGTATCAAAGAGATAAATACACAACTAAACCTACCTAATGGCTCCTTGATGTGTCCTCTACGACCCCACTTTGTCCTCAGCTCCACTGGCTTAAACCACATCACATCCTCTGGAGATGAAAACACAAAAGGCAGGTAAAAAACAGGCTTTGCTGCACCAACACAACCACTCCTGCAGGGGCAGGAGTTCTGCTTCCCACATCCCCTCATCCCACCACACACAGACGGGCTGTACCTCTGTTAAAGAACATGTATCGCACAACAGCCATCTTGGTAAAGATCTTGAAAGGATGGCCACTGAGCACCAGCCGCTTGATGACGATCCTGTCGGGGTCCACGGAAAGCAGAGAACCCGTGGCAATGAGGTCATGCATTCC